GAGTTCTTGCGAAGGCCTAAGTCGGCATATCCGCTGATGACTCTTGATCTGTTTGCAGAACTTCATATCTCAAACTAGTGATTTATTGATCATACGAAGAAGGTGTATAATTAGCTGTAATTTCTAGACAGTTTGTCTTTTCCTCGAAGATAAAGTCTTTGTCCTCTCAGTCAGCCGGTCAGTCTTGTGTGTTTGTTCACTTCGGGATAAGTAGTCCAGTGTGATCAGATGTATACTGTTGTGTGTTAAAATAACAGTGACAGCGAAACCAAATACAATATTATTTTTATCCACAACACTCTAGGGAACACGTTCGTCTACTTCAAAATGCAGCGCCAAAAAGCCATTTCTACGAGAGGAGGAAGAGGTTTTTCGCCATCTACATCTACACTATGGTCAAATGTCGGATTCACAGATCAAATGGGAAACATTGACGCATACTATGTCGTCTCCTATCTTAATACTTGATATTCTGTAAATATTGATTCCTAATTTTTGAAGTATTTATTATTAAGTACTGATTCTTATAGGGATTTTGTTTGATTGGTTGGAGGATTTCATCATGAGCTGACATCAGTTAGAGAACAATTGGAAAACCAGAAGGATGTACTGGATAGCTGTTTTGTCAGCCTAGTTTGGGACTCTTCATCAGTACGCACCCACTTTCCGATTCGTCACTGACAGTACACAATATCACTATCATCCTTGGTGTAAGATGATCAGTCAGAATTGAGATTGATGCACAGTTGTCCTTGAGTAGAATTCGATCTGGATTTCAGACTCAAGCGTTAATATGGTATACCCAGTTTTAGAAAGGAGATTGTAATTTGAATGTTCCTCTAAGATAAAAGCCTTTCTTTTCAAAAGTTTGTTTGTGTGGATTTGATTTATCTCATGTGTTTGACCACAGAGTGATATCGGTTAGAGAACAATCGGAAACCAACAATGCAGCACTGGACATCTGTTTATTCAGTATGGTTTGCCGCTCATCGGCAGTACGTATCCACCACCATGGTTCGAATTCAAGACCTTCCGGTTACAAGGCAATCTCGTCATTCAGCCACTCAACCAGCCCATGAATTCCAACTTGTACCCATTCTTGATTTTAGCGAGACCATCAACCAATATTCTCATTGGCGGCTATTTGTTCTAACTACCAAACGGATGGCCAGAATTGAAACACATCAGATGAGTGGCAAACCAGACTGAATAAACAGCTGTCCAGTACTGTAGTTCTGGTTTTCAATAGTCCTTTAACTGAAATCAACCCTTGACCAAACTTGAAATGCCTTTCTTACCAAAGCAAGAACGAATATATTCGCAGGATGAGAAGAACTCAGTCACTGGGAGCATAAAATAACTTAAGCTATCAAAAATGTAAATAAAAAGCCTCTTTTTTAAAGTGCAAAGTTAAAAAGTAATTTAATAATTCTTACAACAGTAATGGAAAAGCAGGTATGACTAAAAGATAGTTTATAATTGAATAGCATTACCAGAGTGAAGTGACGATGGGGATAGGTGAATTAGAAATTATTACATAAACTCACAATTCAGTCCAGCTCAATGAGTGAAAGTCAGTTAGATAACCCACTTATTTGAAACTCTTCAACTCTGGAAAATTAATCTAGTGACTGACTAGACGATGAAGAGGAGCTGAAGGACTTATGAGAAGTTGTGACCAACTCGCTCCACTAAATTTCAGACGAGAAGAGATACTTTTCGCTGAGACTGGCTGGTAGTCACACTATGTTTAACGAATTGGCAGAAATTAGGATCGATCGGCCATTGGATTCCATCCTAGTGGCTGAATTATTCAGTAGGCTCACCTTGTAACTGGAAGATCCTTGGATTGATCCTTTTGTATACTTCTGAGGAGTCCCAAACTAGGACGAAACAGTTATCCAGCATTCTCTAGTTTTCTGTGGCTCTCTAAAAGAAGTCAATTTGTAAGTAAGAATTGCATTGCTATGAAATGCAAATACCAAAATGGGTCCACCAACCAAAGTAATGTGAGGTTAGGTTGAACTAACTGGATAACAATAGTTTTTGAGAAGTGAAATAGACAGGGATTTTCTCTTTATACTGATGACTTTACATTCTTGACTGATTTCAACTGTAAATCCGGTGTAATTCAGATGTCTAGGGATTACTTTTGCTAACACTTCCCTTCTTTTTATTACAAAAATTGTTAGGCGTCAGAAAATCTGGGAGACTCTGTCTCATCAGCATAACCCGTGTACTTGCCGCTGTAAATGCATGTGAGTCAGGGAATACAGTCCGAGTTGAGATGAACAGGATACTTACCTACTTTTGCTTCAAAAAAAATGAACATTTCGTTTCTATCTTGTCAGTATATTCATGCTTGCTTTGTTCACACTAGTCAAGGGAACCGAGTATACAAAGTGGATTTTATCGTCTACTTAGATATAATAGAGACATTTAGTTTGTTGTCAAGTGTGAAGGTTTCTTTCTTTTCATCTCTTCTTCATGCAGTCCCTTAAATATCAACTTGGTATTCAGGACCGTCACGTTGTTACCCACTTGAAGGCCTTTTTTAAGTATGTTCAGTCCATCTCTATTTTCTGTCAGCTCGTTAGCATTCCTGTAACCTATCAGATTTCTGCAAACCAACACTTGGAAATTATTCCAATGATCACTAGTAACTGGCTGTATACAAGAATTTACCTATAGTTCTGGTGCGAAGTCATGTTCAGCGTGGTTCACTGTAACTCATCAGCAATATCATCTGACAGATGCACTACATATATAGCGACAGAAGACAAGGGCCAGGCAATAGATCGTTTATTGAGAAAATCAACAGATATTTATGGATTTCTATGTACAATATTATTCGTTATTGTTAGCAGAGAAATAGCGTCCTCTGATTGGTTGTTTTCTCGCTGAACGTTATTCTGTCATCTCTTTGTGGCCGTTTTTTGAAGGTCAGCCCATATATCTGCTAATCGTATCCGCCCTCGGAAAGTCTGCTGTGATTGGTTGTTGAGTTCCTCAAGGTTAGTCTTTGTTCTAGTTCTTTCCTCATGAACAATATTTTGGGACGTAAACATTGAGGTAAATTGCTGTCTACCGATTTTGGCTAGCAGACAGCTCTCACCACACATACACATCTCAAATTGGCAGAAGTTGAAATTTATGGCCCATTGATTCGGATCCAAATGCCTAAATGATCTACTAGCTTGCCTTATAACTGTTTGACCCTAGGTCTGAAACCCAGAGGGTGCGTACTGACGAAAAGTCTCAAACTAGAATGAGACAACTACTCGGAACTCTCCGGTTTTTTAGTGGTTCTCTAACTAATATCGATCGGTGATTAAAGCTTATGTAAATTTTTTGAATTTCTTCTTGCTTATCTTTTCTGTGCCGCTGCTTTTCAATATCAGACCAACGAAGGCATCTGTTGAGCATACTAGGCAAATACTACATTGGTAATTTTATTGGACACTAGTTAGTAACTAGTGTGATGTGTCCAGTCCTTTCTTTGGTGCAGACTGAATTCTATCAGTCAGATTTGCAATGTGGCCACCATTCTAGGTAGCTCGCCATCACTGTGCACAGTGATTTGATGATATTAGATGGTTGGAGGCAATCGCCCTCAGGAAGCCTTGGACCGTGATGACGAGCCACCTAGAATGGTGGCCACACTGCAAACCTGACTGTTAGAATTCAGTCTGCAACAAAGATAGGACTGGACACATCACACTAGTTAATAACTATTATCCAATCAAAAGTATCCAGTACAGTCCTACAGGAGGTCAATCGCGAGCCCGAATGGTTCAGCGGTAGTAGCGTCTCTGACTTGCCGCTGCACTGAGTGATATGGATTTGAATCTCAGAAGGGATATGAATTCCTCCAAGGTTGCAGATATGCTTTTCTGACTGATGATCGCCAACTAGCACGAAACCTAGGTCAAGCAAGGCTTCCTGTGTCCGATTGCCTCCAACCATCCAATACCACTGTGGTGAGAGATGGTTGCTAGCCAAATTGGTTGACAGTAATTGAGGTCAATGTTAGTCATGTGAAAACAAGGTCAAGATGGACAGGCGGATACAGTTAACATATAGATGAACTGACACAGCCACAATAGATGCAAGGTTAACTTTGTGTGAGAAACAACTAATCAACAGACTGTATTTTCTACTAACATTAACCTACAATAATGTACATCAAAATCTATAAATATGTGTTGATTTTCCGTAATAAACGTTCTGTTGCCTGGCCCTTGTCTTCTGTTGTTACACCACTACACTGGTAATCTAAATACAATTTCATGTTATTAGCATAGAACTCATTCGTTTCATTCAATAAACTCAGGAGACTGTCATTTCACTAACTGGTTATTTTATAACAAAACGTGAACGAATACAATCTATTTTTCACTTTCTAGATTTCCTCCTTAGTTAAAAAGAAAAAATACCCGTACTCAAAATAAATGTCAATTTAAAAATCTGAATAGAATAAAGAAGTGGCAATCAGATCTCTGACTTCCGTACTGTCGTCATCTATCCTCAAACGGCGTAGATTTCAACTTCTAGTGTCATATTACTTGATCACATTACTTTTTGACAGGCATCAAAATTCATGTGGTAGGTACACATGTTCACATACCTACAGTCATCATCTTTTTTTAAAATTTCCTTGAGAATGACATTTACGATGATGTTTGTAACTGGATAGACAAAAAAAATCGATTCATGATGAATCTCTTCACCCTATTATGCACAGTTTGTTTAATAAATCAGTGTTGCCTATGCGTTGTTTTACTGTCTCATGGTAGTAATGTTTGCTGTAAGCCTATTGGTTATCTTATTTAAAGTTTGACCTTGAAATGACAAAGCAGGTGATAAAATATTATCTTACGTATGTACATTTTTGAATCAATTTGTGGCGCTTGTTTCAAATTTCGACTGTTTTTTAAAACAAAGAAAACTCATAAAAACAGTGGTGAGAAGAAAAGAAAAGAACACTGAATGACCACAGATGTACGTACGCCTTGCGTCATATTTATTTATCACGCACGCTCTCAAAAATATTTTAAAATTTATACAAAGATCTTTACTTTTTCTTTACATTTATATAAAAAAATATATATAGTGAATGTTGAACAAGTTCTGAAGTGTAATAAATCACAGAGAATATTGAATATTGAAATACAGACTGATTCGTTTTGTTCACTCAAGACATAAATATATATATATATATATATTGTTAAACACCATTCAGTGATTTCACTTGCAAAGTTTTAAATACACGAAAATGTATAAATGTTAGGCATAATAATGATAGCTGTATTAACCGGCCTATATTACCACATCGAAGTGAATTGGCTCCTAAAAACGGTCAGAATAAACAGAAAGAGATAAAAATGATAACAAAATGAAAACAACGAGGTGTCATCAATAGCTTGTTTTGATTACTTTGAGTTAGAAGTGCAAACATAGGACTTTGAAACTTTGTTTCCGAGAAGTGGATCTGCTAACCTTATGCCAAATCTCCCCTGTTTTCCAGTATTACTATCGACTGGTTAACTAGGTAGGTTTAAGGAATGTTTCGGTAGAGAATACAAACTGGGACTTCTTTATATTTAATTGGTCAGCATTCTATCACTTATATTATCAATAGAGGTCTTTAAGTTATATTCACAAAATTTAGTCCACACTGCTATGCGTCTAAGAATTGTTTTCTGTTTAGAGAATAAATGAGTTATGCGTGTTCCATCTAATTCGGGAGCGGGGGGATATGAGTTTTAGGTACTCTTTGAATCTTCAGTAACATCAATGCTGGTTTTATTTTCGAGTCAGGATTGCCAGCTCCAGGTCAAACTTTCCCTCTTCTCCTAACTTTCTACCAGCAAAGCAAGATTTCAGTATGCATAGATCAGCAACTGAATCTAGACTTCCTAGCCGACTAACAAACATCCCAGATAAGCACTTTACTCTAATATGTGCAATGTCTAAGTCATTAGAGTTCAGTTTGTTGAACAATGTCATCATATCATCCATGGATGTTTTGTTTTGGTCACTTTATCATTATTATTATTGTTTGCTTTAAGTCCTAGAGGAACATAGAGGTGCAGCTGCACGTCTCCATTGCGTTTGGTTATCTGACAACGTTTTCACCTGGCTCCACGTCAGCCCACATGCTTTCATCTCCTCTTCACATGACCTCCTCCAAGTCACCCTCGCACTGACGACCAACTCGCCGCTTCCCTTTCGGGTTCCACTCGAGCGATGGCTTGTCTAGTGATGTCACTTGATGGTTTCCTCAGAGTATGGCCAATCCATTTCTTCCTGCATATTTGTTTCACAATCGAATCCTGCTGGGTTGGTTCGCTCATCGCCAGAGATCCATGTTGTTGATCTTTTCTGCCTGTCCATCTGATCTTGAGTAGTGTTGAGCTAAGACAGCTGTTGATGAGGGTCTGTGGTTTGTTCAGAATGGCCTTCGTGACGTGCTGGCCAAGTCTCTGATCCGTATAGTAGCACTGACTGACCTCACATTGGAGTTGAAAATCCGGATCTTATTTTCATTTTCATGCTGAGTGCTGTTGATATCCTCCACACAAACTTGAGAGAAATGAAAGCTTGCCATGCTTTCCCGATCCTCGCTGCTTTGATATCCTCATCAGTTCCATCCGCCTGTTGGTGAAACAATGCTTCCCAGGTACGTAGGTAAAGGTGGTTGAATGCATCAGATTGACATTTATAACAGTTATACAAGAAATATGTTTATAAGAGTAATCAAAACATAAAAAGATTGACATTACCTGAAACTGAAAATCTATATGTTGCTAGAAAACCATGTCGAACAATCATACTATTTGAAAAGAATTTGATAATTAGACAAGATTTTCTCCAATTAATACGAATTGTATTATTCTTATACTGTCCAACATTTTGACAATAATACTTTCTGCCTAAATCTAAGATTGATAAAGTTGAACAACTGCGTATTTCCACGTAATCACCATCTCCATCCGTTGAACATCTAAGCAAATAAAAAGTGCACAAATTAGACAGTTTCAGTTTACTGTTTTTAGTTAGAAAATTGCGGTATATTTGTTCAATATTTTAATAGAAGCAGGAAATGTGTTTCGTTGACACATGTAATCCTATTTACTAACGAAAGTAAGTTATTTGAAATATGTAAACTGGGCAAAATAATTTAAACGTAATGAGGTTGGTTTTTTAATAACCTAATGGCCTTAAGAGCTATAAAACTATGTTACAATCCTATCCATCTATTGTTATTTTCAAGTATTGGTTTTGTAGGGATTTTTTTGTTTGATTGGTTGGAGGATTTCATCATGAGCTGACATCCCTACAAAACCAATACTTGAAAATTAATCTGGTGCTCACTGGCGACTGGCCTTATTCAGGCAGTTAACCTGGGGTTCTAGTGGGAAGCCGTGACCAGTAGGGTACAGCAGGTCAAAGATGAGGCAGTAACTCATCGCAGAAGACATTGCGAAATGGTCACGCTATGTCGTGAATTGGCAGAAGTTAGAATTCAAGAACCATTGGATATGGTTATTTTATCAAGAAAGCTTTACGTGCTTATGGAATTACGTCGGATATTATACTTCTGTGCTGCCTACTGCGTAAAAGTTGTTTTCTTTCTAAAGTACTTGAAACATAAAGGGTCTTAATGCCTAGTGACTAGTGAGCTGAGGAGATAACTACTCGAGACTGGTTACATACAGCTTGTTTAAGTTGGTTTTTGAAGTTGTCTTCGTATTGGGATCTTGCTGCTGTCTACGGACGACTGAAAGGTAAGTCTCAGTATCCAATTTTCGGGTTTCACCAATCCTAACCCTTTTCCTCAGAGTGGAGAGGAAAGATAGCTGGCTTGTTAGCCTTCTGAGGAAAAAGCCTTACTACCTTAACATTCATATTCGCCGACAGTTTGACTACGTTCGCAGATTCTCCAGAATAGTGTCAGCAACTTACAATGTGATAGTTACTTCTTTCAGTCTAACTGTTATCCAAACGACTTTTCTGGCATGAACCTTTAGGAAACATTATTTCTAACGAGTGTAGTTCGTTAGATCATGCGGATATGCAAGCCTCATCATCATATCAACGTAGTATCTGTCGGTAGGAATAAAATGCGCCTAGAGACTGTCGGTGTTATGTCTGGGAACTGTTTTCATTGTCACAGATGTATTACTACTGGAGACAAATAATTTTCGCCTGCTATACAAATTTTAGTGCAGAACTCTAATAATCGTATTTCCAGTTTTCATCTTACGGGTGACTGTCATTACAGTAAAAGTTTTGCCTGGAAACCATGTTCATCAGTGAAGCTTCTTGAAGGTATGTGAGATAAATGCTAACATACAACTCTTCACCTTGTTGATGAGTGCCAACCAGCACGAAATCTAGGTCCAAGGCTTCCTGCCGATTGTCTCCAACCATCTTATACAACTCTTCAAGTGTGTAGGAGTGTAATTATAGACAAACACTATTAATAGTAGTAGATGAGCAACTGATTCTCCTACGTTGTTCTACAAATCTTGACTCGCGGGATTTATGAAACCAGGTCTACACAATGACACGGATTGACGGATATTTTTATTCGCGGAAGTCAACCCACTTACTGGATGGTTAGTATTGTGGCTACAACAAGATTTTATATGTTCACAATGATAAATAGTTACACTTCAGAATGAAATAGCTTTCGAAATTTCACCCGATTATGTTGATGAGTGCAAAAAAGTACTTTGTAAGGTCTGTTTAAAGTATTCTTCATTTTCCGTTAATCGATTCATATTGGACTGAGACGCTTGGTCTGCTGCTGCTACGGTCGTTTCAATGATATCTGCAGGTTAACATGATGTTACGTGGTCGATAGTGGCCAGTAGTTTAGTGGATAACGGTATGGAGTTTGACAGAATGAGAGATGGTGTCTGGATTCTCGATGAGAAATCCTTACTCCTTAAGAATGTCGGTGCATTCAACTGACGAGACATAAATAAGCAGAAATTCGTGTCTATATTACTGAAATCCAGCAATAGGAAATTAAGTCGCTAATTTCATTTAATACACTTGACTTTATCCATTCAAAACATACTGTTGTTATTAGTACTCTCATTGGATTCCTAGTGAAGTAGTTGGCTTCAGCAGAACATCTCTCTTTCACTCTATTCTCAGCATCCACTTCCAGATGGTTCCACGATAGCCGACAAGCTTTCATTTCCTCCTCACACGGTCGCCTTCACGTCACCCACGGATGTCCAAGGGCGTGGTATGTGATGTTACTTGAACGTCTCCTCAGAGTGCGTGTAGTCTATCGCTATTTCCTTCAACAGATTTGTTGGGCGATAGGTTATTGTTTAATTCGTCGCCACAGTTTCTTTTTGTTTATCCTTTTGGTCGGCCATCGTATCTTCATTATGGACACAAAGCAATAGTTAATGATAGTTTGCAATTTTTAAAACAGTTTTTAGATTTTATTCCTCTACGTTCCTAGTGGGAATTTTTACGGACTGGGATTGCTAGCCTCATGTCCAGCCTTCCCTCTTTGACAGTCTTATTATCACCGACTTAGCAAAGTGAAAAGGTGCGTCAGCCGGGTATAGAATCCTAGACCAAATGCGTAGTTGGTGTGCATTCTAGCGCTAAGCCACCGATACACTAGAGTTTTCAGTAGCCTGTGTAAAGTGCTTTTATTGACGCTGGTGTCATTTCTCCGAACTATATAGAAGTAGCGACTCGACATTAATGTCGAAGATTCCAGTCTTGTTCTTTATGCTAATTGCAGCGGATATCCACACTGATTGCAGGTTAGTGAATTTCTGTCCTGCATTCCTGATCCTGACTTTGACATCCACATCCGTGCTGTTTGTAGTTCAGACAGTTTTATCTAGATAGATGTAGGATGCGACTTCCTCCAGTTTTGAATCTTCATCACCTCTGTCTTCTCTTTATTCACTTAAAGTCGTTTGTTCTCAGGCAAGCATTCTAATCTAATCTGATTTTAAATACACACAAAGTCATTGTGAATTATTTGAAATCTTATGACGTAATTTCTTATTTGGTTATACCAAACAAAATTATTAAAAGCATATGACATGCTTAAAGTAAAGACATACATATTTACATACATATAAACATACCTTACGGAATTACTTTCTACATCGAATTCTTGAAATTCTAAGTCGATCACTTCATTTTGATAACCAACCAATCGATATTCACAGATTATATCAACTGGATAAAGTCCAGGATAATTTGGTGAAGTGAAGAAACCAGATTTCGATGTAGAACTATGAAAGCTGAAATCACAGTCTGATATTGTATATAACAATGAGTGTACATTTGTGTGTGTGTGTATACAGTTAGGCAGGATAATAGAGAGAGAGGAAAAACAAAAACCAAAACAACAAAATTACAGTCAGTAGGATGCAATTAAATAAGAGATTGTAATATTCATCTATTCTTCTACTCATGATTGTGTGTAACCACAGAGGCATTTCGTTCATTTCTGGACAACTCATCAGTGGTGTACCCGATTTCACCCAGCTTGGTGGGCCGAATTAATTCAAGGTAACAGATGAGTCCACTAGAAATGAGTCAGATGACTGTCCGGTGTTTAGATTACCTCGACCTAATTAGGGCGCATTAATGATTGATGTGAGTTGTAGACAACTGCTTATTTCAGTCAGTCAGTAGTATATATAATTTAGCGAAAATAATCTTGATGTCTTGATTACCATTTATGGGATCACGCAGATCATTTATTGTGGTATGAATAATTTGGTTTACAAAGGAAACTGTAGTACAAATTTCAAACTCTCAAACTGTGTGCGCTGCAAAATTGAGGATTGACTAAATTTTATAAACTTTCAATTGGCAGTACTCACTTAGTGGGGTTCGAACCCTGCGCCTTCCGGTTACAAGCAAGCAAGCTCGTATACTATTCAGCGACTGGGACCCAATTCAATAGTCAGCGCGACCACCAACCAATGTCATTGGTGGGAGAGAGTTCTAGTGAGACGTAGTGACCGGTGAGGTCCATCCATTTAAGTGTGAGGATGGATGTCCCACTGATGACATTGGTTGGTGGTCGCTCTAAATACATCACGAATTGATAGAATTTAGATTGCCTTGTAATTGGAAGGTCCTGGGTTCGAACCCCAATAGGTGAGTACTGCTAATGATTCCCAAACTAAGACAATTTCAATTATTAGTCGACGGTAACAAAAGAAAGAATCAATCGAAAAACATGGAATACAGAAGAGATTTTTCATCGTAATTTAGTACAGATATCACTCCCTGAGGCAAATTATTCTGGGTACATTACTGATGAGCTTATTCTTAAAAGACATAAAATGGCTATCAGATGTTTAGATCACCTCTATCTACCTGACAAGCAATTCTGTTTAATGTGAGGAGTTTCCAGCTACTTAAATGAGTTAGTAGTATATATCGTCATCGTAGTTTAGTACAATTCAGTAGTGTATGGTTAACAATGTAAGTGTTAAACGTGGGCACTGTGATAGTAAGTAATTCCGTGTTAGTTTGTTTATTAGAAATACATCACACAGTGAAACAGTATTGCTATTTACTGGATGACTTTTCGAAAAAAATTTATTGTTCATAATCATATCGTCAATTATAATCACACGACTTCGAAACTTGAGTTTTAAAGTTTTCTTTGTTCTCTTCTATTTGTCGTAGGGGTAGTAGAATTTTCCAGATATCTGAAACAGGTGTTGAATCATTCCTATTACACGTATTTGTATATTTTCCCCTGGAATTTAAATCCTGTGGAAGTCAGGCATAGCTGCACTCCCAGTATTATGTCCTCAAGTGGTACTTTCGTTCTAAGTTCAAGCTCTTGGTCAGAAATGAGTTCGTCTTTGACTGCCAATAAATATGGCTATAGAGGCAGTCAGAAACGAACTCATTTCTGGCCAAGAACTTGAACTTGGAACGAAAGTACCACTTGAGGACATAATGCTGGGAGTGCATCTATGCCTGACTTCCCCAGTATTTAAATTCCAGGGGAAAATATACAAACAAACTGAAGGAGTTGCCATGGGGTCACCAATATCCCCAGTGGTAGCAGATATATTCATGGATAGGTGGGAAAACATAGCGATTGAAACGTTCAGCCCTATCCCAGAATTATGATGGAGATATGCAAATGACACATTCACTGTACTTAGAACACAGGACATAAATAGATTTCTCACACACATTAACTCAAAGGTGCAAGCAATTCAATTCACTTATGAATTGGAAAATCAGGAAGGGGAACTTCCGATGTTAGATTGCAGCGTAAAGAGTAAAGAAGATGGAAAGTTAAACACTAGTGTTTACAGGAAACCCACACATTCAAACTGATATTTGGACTTCCGATCATCCCATCCTATGTCAGTGAAAGAAGGATTGGTGAAATGTTTAGATGACACAGCACAAAAACTAAGTAGTACGAAAGAAAATCTAAAATAGGAACTGATACACATAAAAGAAGCTTTGAAACTGAATAATTACCCGGATAAATTAGGCAGGAAATATGTAAGTAAATGTAAAAATAAAACAAATAATCATAGTAGTGAGAGCGATAATAACAATAATATTAATGTCGACAAGCATGTCAAATGTGCACAGGATAATGAAACACCAACAATAAGGAATCTAAATAATCAGTAGTAATTCCATACAAGGAAGGAACCTCGGAAGCCTTACGCAGAATTCTTAACAAGGCAGGAATGAAAGTGGCGGACATTCAAACCCACAAACCCAATTAGAAACAAGCTTTGTCGGTTAAAGGATCCTGTGGATCCTTTAAAACAAAACAATTTAGTTTATCTAATACCCTGCCTGAGATGGTTGTCAGGTCAAATACATAGGTCAAAGTAGTAGAATAGTGGCAGTCAGATTAGCGGAGCACAAAAACCTAGCAAAGTCTAGATTGGTTGACCCAAATAAGATAAGAAATCTAGAGAATAGTTCAGCTTTAGCACTGAAACATGCAATTACACACAACCATACAAATAGGATGAGATAAGATGACAGTTTTAAAATCTAATGTCACAGGAGATAGGGAGAGATTGATAACAGGAGCTTTGTTTATTGAACTGCAAATACGTGTCCCGTTTATCTGGAAAATTCTACTAACCCTACGACAAATAGATGACAAAGAAAACTATAATACTCAAGTTTCGAAGTCGTGTGATTATAATTGACGATATGATTATGAACAATAAATTTTTTTCGAAAAGTCATCCAGTAAATAGCAATACTGTTTCACTGTGTGATATATCTAATAAACAAACTGACATGGTTAGCAATCTTTATCAGATGAAGTGCAGGAGGATTTTTCGCTAAAGATGAGTTTATCGGTGCCACTGATTCAAGTTCCACATATTCAATTTACATTTTACCATTGAGACGTCAGTAAAAACTAGAACGAACTAGATGGCTGTTACATACGGATACTGGACTTCTAAGAATTGCACACTTATGACCACATCAACGGTTAAGTTCATCAGTGTGAGAATCTGAAGTGAGTCTACTCCCAGTCAGCCATTACAGTGGAATAAAATGCTTTGTAGTTTTTAACTCTTGTCATACAACGAAGATATTCTTGATTGCACACTAGTCAGTAACTAGTGTAATGTGTTTAGTCCTATCTTCGTTGCAGACTGAATTCTATCAGTCATGTTTGCAACGTGGCCACCAAGCTAGGTGGCTCGCCATTACGGTGCACTGTGAATTGTTGGTATTAGATGGTTGGAGGCAATCGGCAGGAAGCCTTGGACATGACTGATAGAATTCAGTCTGCAACGAAGATAGGACTAAACACATTACACTAGTTACTGACTAGTTTCCAATCAAAAATATCCAATACAGTCCTACAAGAGGTCAGTCGTGAGCCTGAATAGCTCAGTGGTAACGTCTCTGACTGATCGCTGCACTGGGTGACGCGGGTTCGAATCTCAGAAGGGACATCAGTTCCTTCAAGGTTGCAGATACGCCTTGCTGACGAGTGCCGACTAGCACGAAACCTAGGTCAAGCAAGGCTTCCTGGCGATTGCCTCCAATCATCTAATACCAACGAAGATATTCATTTGATCGGAAAATATTTTTTCCAGTTTTATGTTGAATTCCTTTCCAACGGACCTTCATTATTAGCAATGAAAAGCCTTACATTCTGCATCTAAATGTTAGAAATTTGATGTCGGATCTTTAGAATTAATCTTCAGATAGCCATCGCCTCACGCATCCTTATTACCTACACCAATCACCAAGGCGTATTCACAATCTCAAAGGACGTGGTATAGCCTCAGAGATTTCAGCCAGCACTATCTTGTGCTGAAGAGCCCAAATAACTGAGTGCTAACAACTCTAACTGCAGGTCTGAGTAACCTAAGTTGCGGTCAGGGTCGGAGACATGCCTTGCCGATGAATGTTAATGAGCACAAAACCTAGCTTCACGGACTCCTGATGAATGTTTCCAATCAGATAACATCAGTTTATTGTGTACCGTGGTAGAGTTTCACCTAACTTGGTGACTGATGGAATGCTTACACAACATTATTTAATGCCTAGTGGCGAATGCATGTTCGTAATTTATTTCATCACTCCTCGCTTATGTCTATCTGACCGGTTATTCAAGAAGCTTTTTTATTTTGAGAACTATAGTGTAGTTAATCAATTAAATAATGACTGTGAACATACGTATCTTAAGCGCTTTCGTAGGAAAATAAATCTGTCTGATACGATTCCATTTTATTCGTCAACTCGTATAAACCTGCTATTGACCACTGTAATGTAATCTGTTAACTTTCTACGCTCAATACACCTAGTGCATTCCATCTACTCAGTATAACATTATGCATTTATACAGTATATTTTGTTTGATTGGACAGTATTCAGTAGATAGTGTAGTGTTTCTAATCCTATCTTTGCTACAGATCGAATTATATCATTCATATTTACAATGTAGCCAGCATGCTAGGTGGCTCGCCATCACAGTGCACTGTGAATTGTTTGTATTAGATGGTTGGAAGCAATCGACGGGAGGACTTGTTTGACCTAGGTTTCGTGCGAGTTGACATTCTCCAGTCAGCAAGGTGTATCTGCAGCCTTGAAGGAATTCATGTCCCTTCTGAGTTTTCATCTCGCGTCATCCAGTTCTGCAGTCAGAGACGTTACCACTGAGCTATTCAGGCTCGCGATTGACCTCTTGTAGGACTGTATTGGATATATTTTAACATCTATTGAATGGTCAGAATAATTTTAAAACTGCATACACTATAAAGTACGGCAGCACAAGC